AAGCAAGTTCCCATTGACACTAATGCACTTCAAAATAGAAATTGAATCTCATAGAAGTCTCAGAATTTGTAAATCATCAACTTGAAATTGAGCTTAAGTGTGTTTGTATGCTCGGATATTATGTTTAAGCCATTTCATCTCAAGATTCATTTTATGAATTCTATGCTTTATAAGTGGACATTTTGAGTGTTTTTTTTTTTAATTAATGTTCTTCATGGTCAGATGGCAATGATCTTTGTGCCAAACTTGCATACAGATTTGTGTTCGCTATATGTATGAGGAAAAAGCCGCCATGTAACTAATCTGAATCCCCTTATTTAACATCCAGGAAGGTTTTGAATTTTAACTTTTACTGCCATTAACTTGTCTTCAAGCACTAGAGAGATGTTCGTGGCGTTAATTATAATTGCCTACAGACCTGAAACTGTAGCTCTTGTGCCAAAAGATGCGTAGTAGTGGTACTTGAAGGGAAGGTAGGTTATTTTGAGTATTTCGGTCGTCCCTTGGGTGCTACTGAGAGCTGAAGTCAGTGGCATGGATGCAGCAGCCCTGCATTACTCATCTGGGTTTTTTCTGTCATGGCCTTAAAGCAGGTTTTCCTCAATCTTTTCTTTAGTGTTTATAATCCAATTCCCTTTTTTGCACTCAAAAATGTGAAGTACAATTTTCTAGAAATTGATCCCTAACCATTTAGAGCTGTATGCTTAAGTGCATCAAGTATTATTGTACAATCCTATAAAGTAAAATGGTTTTACACTGTAGAAGCACTTTGTACATAGCTCAGAGAATCTATATACATAGACCTATTTAAGAATTGCATTTTGTCGAAATGCATATAAAATCATCATTAGGCTTTGATTTGTGGCCTCTTATGTATTTTTTCTTTTATAACCCCTGAAAAATGTAATTTCTTAAGTTTGGTTGAATGGAGAGATGTGGTTATTGAGGCACAACATGCTGATTCATACTGTGCTAAGAGGCAGAGTACAAGCATTTGACGGCTTGCTTTGTTTGCAAGATGTAGTCCAAGTCTGTTATTAGCTATAGGAGCCTTTCATCCCTCGCAGTGCTTTAACATTGAAAGGAAACAGAAATGGAAAATAATGTTTTGAACCAACGTCACTGATACAGCCACTTTATTACCACTTCAAGAGCACCTTAGACCTTCTATGTACCTACAGCATGATGCCTATCTGCGTCATATTTAAAAATGATATATGCAACAATTATACGCGTCTAATTAGATTGATCAATATTAATCTGAAAATTGAAGAATAGGACTGGGAAAAATCCATAAATTTGTGCATGTCTGTGGGTGTCACGTGCAGTGCTCTGTTGTGGAGATAGTGTCTATTGTTTCTCCAGCCTAGGCAACTATACTAGTTGCTTTGCCACGTGGACAAATGTTGTATTTTATATCCCTTAAACATTTGTGCTCTGTGCTCTCCTGGCCAAAACATGTTGAGGTGAAACTCAAGTTCCTGAAAATGTTGGCTAAATACAGTATTCCTTGATGTTATATGCAAATAGCCGTCAAGTTTACATTCATTCGTTAATGGTGATTCTTAAAGGAACAGTTGAACCAAAAATCAACATTCTCATTATGTCACTGTTTTAGCTACCATTGACTTCAATTGTATGGACGAAGAAAAAAAAAAAAAGTATTTTCTCAAAATATCTTCTATGTTCCACAAAAGAAAGCGAGTCATAGAGGTTTGGAATCACATGCGAGTAAGTAACAAAAATTTATTTTTTGGGTGAACTATCCCTTTAATTATATGCTTAGAGGAAGAACACAAAGCACAGTTCTACAAATATCCCCACTCAGATTAAATAGTAGATTTTTTAAATGATAGTTTATAATTATAGGACATTTTCAGGGGGGTCTTCATGGAGCATGAAGTATTTTTTTTATGTTATTATGCTGGTTTGTTTGCCAGTGTGTTAGCACAGTGTCTTAGTTTGGGCATTGCACTAGAAAATGTTCTCGATCAAGTTTAGTTTCAAACTGAACACTAGTTAAAAACAGATAAAAGTTAGACAAAGCTTCCTTTACGTCTTCTGCACATTATTGAATGCTCGGTAACTTTCTCTGATTTTATAACTGGCTTTGCAACTCTTGTGTGAACACTTACGCAGAATAAAAGGAAAGAATTTAAAGGTTAACTTCAGAAGTTAAAGGTGATGTGTGTGATTTTTTTTAAAGCAAGTTAAAACACTTCCTCCTCTCCCAGCTTAAGCAAGCTATTCATAGGTTCATTCCTGTAAAAAGTGCAAACATTCTAGATTTATCAAAACATCTGTGCGCTTAACAAGGCAACCAGTCTCAACCAATGGTGCAAGCTTAGGGGCGGGGCTAACTGTTTGTCTGACCAATGATAGATGAGGGAAGTGTTCAAGAAACTTGACTGAAAACTGATCATTTTTGTACTTCCATTTAGTAGTGCTAGTGCGCAGAAATGACATCACCTTTAAAGACTCATTATGTTTCTGCTTTTCCACGTTCTGACACCACCCATGTTATATATTTGTTTTAACAAGGAAACATTTGTCTTAAGTCTTTGTAAATCTAAGCAGTGTGAGAGTGGCTGTTAGCGCATGAAGCGTGTGATTGTGGTTTTACCCTGGCAGAGTTGAAACTTGCTTTTGAATGCAAAAACGCATCTTTATCTGGCGTATTCATTGACATTTTTGCACATAATCACGGTTCGTTCTGGACAGACGTGGATCGAGACGAAGTTCCTGTTGCTGACACGTGACCAAAGCTTGATCTTGTCATTTATGTACATTTTGTTTTTAAGAGATGCTTTAATATTTCCTCTCAATGCCAAGAAGCTGAGGTTTATTTTTGTACTTCATTGTTTCATGCAGATTTATAGGTCCTCCAGTGCAGAATCTAGGATTTAAGGGTTCTATGGTAAACTGTCACCCATCAAGGTACAATCTTTGAAGATACTAATTATTCACGTATTTAATGTGAGAAGCATGCCCTATATAAACGAATATAAATATATATATATATATATAGAATATATTATAATGTGATTATTTGTATAAAATACTAACTTTTCTGTTTATAAGAAATTGTTTTAATATCGGAAGCATAATGTATATTATATTTTTAAGTTTCTAATTTAGCATGCAGTAAACTGCTGAATATTTTCATTGTGTTAAATTAACGAATTGTTTTTAGTTTAGGAGATCATTCGAGTTGTTTTACTGATTTAGTAAAAGGACTAAATGCGAGCACTTTTGCTGTCTGTCAGCTAGGACTGTACTTTTTAGAGTGGGTGCTGGCTCATTGTTTCATTTCAGATGCTGCTATGCTTAGTTTTGAGCAGAAAGCTGTATTTTTAATTAACTTTTCAGCCAAGTAGCAATAAATTTTTTTTACTGTGAAACACGCGTCTTTGATGTCTCAGACGTTCTGTATGGGATGTATTTGTGCATAACTGATGCGCATGTCTCAAAATACTTTAGTACCTAATATAGTCTATATATATAATAGATGCACATATAAAAAGAAGAAAATGATTTAGCTTAATATGTTATATTACAAACTGTGAGCTAGTCTCATTGGCAATAATTAATAATTAAATTATGAATATGTAGTAAATAACATATACAAGGTTCCTGCAGGTTTTATGATGGTAAATTTAAGAACAAACAGAAAAACAATTGAAGGGATCACAATATGTCACTATGTTCTCTGAATGTAAGGGAGCACACAATGAGTTGTATTAGCAGTACTTAAAAGTTTAAAAGTACAATTTCCAACCATTCTCCTTTACTTTTTAAAGGGGTCATATGATGCAATTTCAAGTTTTCCTTTCTCTTTGGAGTGTTACAAGCTCTTGGTGCATAAAGAAGATCTGTAAAGTTGCAAAGACTAAAGTCTCAAATCCAAAGAGATATTCTTTATAAAAGTTAAGAGTCAGCCACGCCTACCTAAAACGGCTCGTTCTAACACGCCCCACATATCTACCTCACTATGTGGGAAGATTTGCATAACGCTGCCCAAATGTTCACGCAAAGAAAGAAGGCGTAACTTTTATTCTCGCTGTAGTATTGTTGCCGCCGCCATGTCATGAAGACGCTGTGTGCTTCGTTGTGAAAGCGAACTACTTTGTTTGGTCTTCCAAAAGAGGAAGATATCCACTTCGTCATGCCTAGAGCTGATCCGTGCTGGTCGCTGAGGAAATACATCAACTTCGCGCTGTGGATCGCTGGATTGGCTTTCACCGTGGACGAAGAGGATTCCAGCCCGGGGTCGTCACATGTGGTTGACAATACGGTAAGGGACGTAACATTTCCGTCACACGCTTGAGGAATTCGGCCAATCACAACGCACTGGATAGCTGGCCAATCAGAGCACACCTTGCTTTTCAGACCGATGAGCTTTGTAAAAATCGACGTGTTTCAGAAAGGCGGGGCATAGAGGAGAAACAGTAATGTGAAAATACGGGAAATAATGTGTTTTTTTAACCTTAAACCGCATAAACATTTCATTACACCAAATACACAAAATAATGTTCTTTTTAGCAGCATCATATGACCCCTTTAATGCATTTTTACAAAAAAAATTGCTTATGGCCTGAATAGCCCAATGACTAGAATATGGAAATAACTTTTACTGTACCTTCTTATCACATTGCAAAAAAAAAAAGTGTTGTTCATCTACAGTATTTTTGTTTTGTTTTCCAGTGCAAATGTCGAAGGATTCTTAAATCAAGATACATTTTTTGAGATTCAAAATGACATGAGGTCTTGTTTTCTGTGAAACTGATCAAAATTAAGTAAAACAAGAACAAATATCAGGCTCAGAAAAATCTACTTAATTCAAAGGGAAAACAAGTTTTAATACCCCACTGACATTTTGTCTTGTTTTAAGCATAAATGCTTCATTTTGTTCAATATTTCAAGACTTTTACATTTGCATCTTAAGTAAACTATTTAAAAATGTTTAGATATTTGTATTGGGAAACAACTTGTTTTTGCAGCGAATGCAACATTTAATGCCATGATTTTATGAATTTAAAACCTTCTGCTCTGATTGAAGACCTTTTTAAGGCCCTAAATTGTGGACAGGTGAATTAAGACTTTTAAAGACATTTTTAAGACCTGCAGAAACACTAATTAATTTTGTGTAAATCATCTCACTCAATATATTGTGTTTCTTTTTAATTGATGAATCAAATCTGATGGATGTTTGTGAAGAATATATGAAAAAAAGTAAAAAATAAATAAATAAAAAGTCCATAAAAACTCTTAAGAGAAAGCAAAGGCATACAAAATAGAAAAATATATATCCTTCTGATACTGTAAAAATACTAACCAAAGCATTTACACTTGTGTAGGACCTTCCGTGCTTTCCACGGTTGAATCTCTTCATGAAATGGCGTAACCCTCACAGGTTGTTGTCTTCTGTCGGCCTCTGCTTCATCTTCCGCACTCGTATGAAGCCTCTGATGGCCAACACGGCGCTTACAGGGAATATAATAATCCCCAGAACACCAAACAAGCCTCCAGCTATGTCTGCCCCGTTGAGATTGCACTCGAATCCTCTGTGACCTTTGCTGCTGTACATGGCTTCCCTCTCTTTACAGATGGGGTTGTTGTAGATCTCCTGCAGCTTTATGAAATAGAAAGCGACGGCAGGAATAAAACCGAGACCTATGAGCACATCCAGCAGGGCTTCAGCCAGCAGCAGAGGAGGGAAACGGTAGGGCACGCGAAACACTCCGAGGGCCAGCGTGGCACAAGCGTAAAGCATCAGCGCCCCGCCACACGCCATGCTGTAGACGTAAGGGGGCAGTTTGAGTTGGTAGAACTGGTCGTCGAGCTGCTGGACCTTCTGCGCCTCTGCTCCGGTGAATGCGTTGGCTCCTCCGTAATAGTACTGGTACAAACCGCCTAAGCTGGCGATATCCCGATACCGACCCGAGTTACTGTGGTTCACTCCAGCACAGATGACAAGCAACAAGCCTAAGAAGAATTCCATGGCCTGACAGATGCCTACAGGACAAGAACATGTGCACATTACAATAGATTTCAAAAATATACAAACTATGTAGGCTACAATTTCAATTTGTTTATTGTGAAACAGCTCAACATGTTTTTTTCTGTCCTCTGATAAGTATTGTTCTGGACTGCTGTTCCCAAAAGCATCAATGGTTTCTTTTGATGCTTTTGGGATGCGCAGCCCAGTTTGAATGCACTCAGAAGTGAGCGAACGCTCTCTGTGATTGATTGGTTCTGTCTTGCAGCATTTACATTTGTTCAGATGAGCAGGAAAATAGTTATATTCTACACAATTATTCGCTAACAGCTTATTCGTCCAATTCAATGCATATTGTACACATTATAATTTTTGTTAAATAAACAAAATCACTGTTGGAATTAAAGCTGTATTACACTTTTATTGAAAAATCTTTTTCGCCTTATATCTACCTAGTTTGCTACCATAGTTTTTTTCCCCAAAATTAAAAGATAATTTGACTGCTAATTTCTAAAGGTTAGCAAGAGACTGTTTCAAAGTAGCCTCTCCAGCACAAACAAAACCTCAAAGTGAGTTTACCTCTGCTTGTTGTAATGTATCTTAGGTTGTAAAGTGCCCCTTTATGATGATAGGGTTGACTGTCATCATAGTATGAAGATGATGTCTCGGTGTAACTGGGCCTGTAGAAAATATTACAACAAACAGGGCAGGAAGTCACAGCATGCATGCATACTTCTGCTGAGAACATACATATTTTGTAGGTGGGAAACAGCACATCAAAATCACTCCTTACACTCCCCGACTATGACAACGGGTGGCCTCGTACACACGGGGGTCCCTTTGTGTGTCAGCGTATCTTTGCTTTTCTCGGTGGCTTCGTGATCTGTCGTCTCCATCAGGTGCTCTCCTGTCCTCGGGTCCACCTTCATCTCTCCTGTCTCGACTAGGGTAGTCTTTGTCTCTTGAGTGATGAAGCCGGCTTGATTCTGGCATTGCCTGAGAAACAAGGAGATTTCACAAATATGATGAGTTTAAAACCTGATGCACGTTCAAGGTGAATATAAAGTCCCCGGATACTAGAACCGACATGGCACATTGTTACATTGTTTGTTAACTGATGTGGGTGGTTGTGGTTTTAGTAGGCTAGAAACATTCTCAGTTTAATCATATTACTTTTATAAAAGCACTTCTGTAAAGTAAACGTTTCATTAGTCGCAAGATGGTCTCATTTCCTGAATCAAATCACCAAAATAAACTAGGTCACAAAAATCTCACACGTAGCCTAACTCAGTAATGAACCAGTTAATTAACCCAGAGCCTACCTTTTACTGAAATGAACGAAGTCAGCGGTGATTTGTCTGGGTTTCGCTCAGGGTTCTTGTGTTGTTGTGGATGTACACACCTGTGAAACCTGTCTGACTCTGACTCCGCCTCACAGCAGCGTCACAACGCCACACCATTATATGTAGCGCACGATTCGGTCTGTTCCAGTGTTGCCAGGTCCGTGGTTTTCCCGCGGAATTGGGCTACTTTAACACTGTTGCTGCAGGTTGTTTTTCATGTCCGCGGGTTGAAGCGACCCCAATAATGTGGTATTTAGCCCCTGTAATGCGAATTTTACCAGGGGAACCCAGCCAAAAAACGTGTATTTTACCCCGGAACGCGATTTGTACCGGTGGAACCCCCCAGAAACGCGATTGTGTTAATTTTAAGTATCAATTAAGCGGGTTTTGCTATGAAAATCTGCCAACCCTGGGGTCTCATTTATAACCTTTGCATAAGCACAAAAACAGCCCTGAAAGAGGCGTACGCCACTTCCTGCGCAAAAGGTGGAATTTACAAAAACAAACTTGACGGGAAAATTTGCGCACATGCATGCAAACTCTGACCCATGCGTACGCACTCTTTTTCCTTGAGTGAGAAAATTAATTAATTAATTAAATTAAAATCAAGTGAAAACAATGATTAAAATAATGATTTTAAGCTCTGTTTTCATGCCGATATATACATTTACATTTACATTAAATATTCCACTCTCATAAGGACTGAAATGACAAAGTCATTACGCAGAGCTTAAACCAAAATTATATGAATTTAGACATATTTGTAGTAAATGCGCTTGATCACTTTTCCTCTTTTATTGACAGCGAGGAGTGCTATAGGTGCACAATAATTGTTATGTTATGAGAAAATATTTTTTAGCGAGAACAATGATCAATGATGCGCACTTACTTCTGTCCATTGTCCAGCACTAATAGGTCCAATGATAATATCTTACTGTTAACCGCAGCTGCACAGAGGTGTTGATGTTGTGTGAAGTCATCTCTACAACATTATGAAAAGTACCGCTGTATTTGAAGGCTACAACTTGAAGAAAACGGTAAGATTTATACGTTTCCTTTTTAAAATACTTTGTCAGTGACACGCCGAGTCAGACAATTTTACACTGCAATAAATAGGCCTATCTGTTTCCACTCAAAATAGCTAAAAGATATTCACCTTATCAGCAAAACTGCATAAATTTAGTTTGATTTGAATTGTTTAAAACAATTGAAATAGGCTACTATTTGGCCAGTGTTAAAGAATGAGATCAACTCTATTCCAAAATATTTATCTGATAACCATTTTAAACATTTTTTTGTGTTTATTTTTGTTTTTATCTTGATATATTTAATCTAAAACATAACAAGGATATTGGATGATTTTTAGAAATAAAAATTTCATGTATGGCGCAAATGGCATTTATAGTCTGTATCTCACATTTCCTTAATGTCTTTTATCTTTGACTGTGTTAAACATGGTGTCACGTGGATGGAAATATGCATGGAAATGAAATTCAGATGACGTTATGCATATTAAAACTAGGCATTGTAAGCTCCATATATGGCTATTTCGGGGAGGAGACGGGGTGGAGATTCATGTACGCACAATCTTCCGCTGACTGAAAAAACAAACTTGACGGGAAAATTTGTGCAACTGCACGCAAACTCTGACCCATTCGTACGGACTTTTTTTCCTGGAGTGAGAAAATTAATGAAGTAAAAAACAATGATTTTAAGCTCTGTTTTCATGTCGATATATATACATTTACATTAAATATTCCACTCTCATATGGAGATAAGGACTGAAATTACATAAAGTCATTACGCAGAACTTATACCAAAATTATATGAATTTAGACATATTTGTAGTAAATGCGCTTGATCACTTTTCCTCTTTTATTGACAGCGAGGAGTGCTATAGGTGCACAATAATTGTTATGTTATGAGAAAATATTTTTTAGCGAGAACAATGATCAATGATGCGCACTTACTTCTGTCCATTATCCAGTTTGAATAGGTCCAATGATAATATCTTACTGTTAACCGCAGCTGCACAGAGGTGTTGATGTTGTGTGAAGTCATCTCTACAACATTATGAAAAGTACCGCTGTATTTGAAGGCTACAACTTGAAGAAAACGGTAAGATTTATACGTTTCCTTTTTAAAATACTTTGTCAGTGAGACAATTTTACACTGCAATAAAAAGGCCTGTCTGTTTCCACTCAAAATAGCTAAAAGATATTCACCTTATCAGCAAAACTGCATAAATTTAGTTTGATTTGAATTGTTTAAAACAATTGAAATAAGCTACTATTTGGCCAGTATTAAAGAATGGGATCAACTCTATTCTAAAATATTTATCTGATAACTATTTTAAACAGTTTTTGTTTTTATTTTTATCTATATTTATTCTAAAACATAACAAGGATATTGGATGATTTTTAGAAATAAAAATTAATGTATGGCACAAATGGCATTTATAGTCCGTATCTCATATTTCCTTAATGTCTTTTATCTTTGACGGTGTTAAACATGGTGTCACGTGGATGGGAATATGCATGGAAATGATATGCAGATGAGGTTATGCATAGTAAAACAAGGCGTTGTAAGCTCCATATATGGTGATTTCGGGGAGGAGACGGGGTGGAGATGCACGTACGCACAATCTTCGCCTGACTGGGATTTATAAAGGGATTTTGCCAGGTTCTGGCGTACGCATGGTTTTATAAATCTGAAAACTTTTGTGCGTATGCAGAATCTAGAGCGTCTTTCGTGCGTACGTACACTTTTAGGAAGAATTCCACGTAAAGTTTTATAAATAAGGCCCCTGGTCTGTTTGTCAAAAAGTAGTATACTTCAAGTTTATTTTAGCAAGTAGACTTAAGTAAAGTTCAAGTATATTTTTTAAGTATACTTTATGTAGTATGTATACAAATATCAGTGTACTAGTAGTATACTTGTAAGTGTACTATTTCAATACTCCTTGGGACTAAATTGGCCCACACATCAAAAGAACAGGGTATCTGCTTGTAAACAAAAACATTTTATTCTAGTTTCATGCATTCTTTTTTAAACACTTGAATGTGGATAAGTTTCATAAATAAAAAATAAAGAAATAAACAACAGTTTGAACAAAAGCTGAAAAAAGACTATGAATTGGATTCAGAATGATAATCAAAACGTAGATAGAGTCGATCAACACCCCAAAGCTTGACAGTTATTATTACCTCTTCATTGGTCGACATTTTATTCCATAACGTTACACAGTTTTGATGCTGTTTTATGTCTGATGATCGTGTTAGATTACATGTGGAATCATCTGTTGTTTCGGTTTCTTCTTCACTTGTGTTTTTTTGGAAATTCTGTACAGAATATGTGTACTAGCGCCCTCTACAGTATAACAATGAAAACACGGATTCTAGGAGCACAAGTATAGCTCAAATATATTTAGACTTTTTCTAAGTATAAGTCAAGTATACTTAAATGTCATTTTAAGTATATTTCTCAGAAGTACATAAAGCCCATTTCTGAGAAGTACATAAAAATTAGACAAAGTATACTTTCCTATTTTTAGTTTAAAAGAAGTATACTAATAGCACACTTGAATAAACTTATTTTTCGTAAGGGTTCTAAATAAACACGGACCATTTCGATAACATGGGGCGTTTTTGTAGTCTCCAACATAAATGTTAGGCCTAATTAATGGTGTAATTTACGAAAAGCAGCACGTGCTTGAAATACATGTCTTTTTGTGAGAAAAGTTAGTTTGTACAAGGAAATCAAGCACTCTTTGGTCCAAATCTTGTATTAATTATTTTAATTAATTTGTAAGGGTTATAAGAGAGGGTTCTATCGAATAGTTCATTTCAATGAACATTAAAAAAAACACACAATTTACCCGTTTGTTTAGTCATCACGCAATGGTGCCATTAATAGCCTACGTAATGTAAACATTGGGTCTGTGTTTATTAAGGACTTTCTCATTTTTTCCCTTAAAGATAAATTACCTTCGAGTTAGTTTCGAAGCCACTGTGTTATTTAAAACGGGAAGTTGTTATCAAGAACTACACTGTTGTCCAGTTCCTCAAGCAGGTGATCTTACATCCTTGTGGTAGTTGTAGTCCTTATTCAGAAAGTCGTTAGCAACATATTAACCACAGACCGTAATTTATTCATGAATCAAAAACAACCCATGGGACATTTCCGAGTAAACTCATGGCTCAAAATGATAATTATCTTGCAGGTTTTAAGACCACAAAAATTAAACTCCATTCATTCATTAACTTTTGTCATTTTACTGAGTGAAACCAGCAAGGACATTGACAGTAAAGACTCTTAAAGGGGTCATATGATGTTGCTAAAAAGAACATTATTTTGTGTATTTGGTGTAATGAAATGTGTTTATGCGGTTTAAGGTTCAAAAAACACATTATTTTCCACATACTGTACATTATTGTTTCTCCTCTATGCCCCGCCTTTCTGAAACTATCTAGTGCATTATGATTGGCTGAATACCTCAAGCGTGTGACAGAAATGTTACCATACTGTGATGTCCTGTCCGGCTGGAGCGACGAGACAAAAACATTAAAACCCATTATAAACGAGGCATTTGTTGCATCCAGTGGGGACATAATTACGGATTATAATGACTTAAGCCTCGTACACACCGGGACGATTATCGTGTGCGCTTATCGCCAACGTTTTTCAACGCATCTTTTGTGTTCATACCCAAGCGATTTTCGCTGGCGATGAGCCGAGTGAACGTGCAAATTCACTCCCTGACATTAGATGGCGCTCCATGAAAAACAGAAATACCCCAAAACACATCGAATCCTATTTGATCTGCAATTCCTCTCCATAACAACTCCATCTTATTGAGATTTTTGTAGTCGCTGTCGCGTTTGTCATAAAGCCCTTTGTGTTCAGACACCAATGAGACCAGCAGCTCTACATTCATCTTGCCTTGATGCATCTTCTTGGTCTACTTACTTCCTCTTCGTCGTTAGGTATCAGTGTGTGCTCGGCAGGACCGTTTTGTGCTTGAGCGACACCAAGTCATGTTTTATTGTAACTTCAGCAGCTCCAGACACGTGAACAAAAGCGGCAATCTCATTGGTCGGCCAGTTTTTAACGC